CTGGGGCGGAAGTTCAGGACCACAGTTCAGATGTTTCTTTCAAAGGAGTAGAAATACCTGGTAAAATCAATTCATATCCTCATTTATTTATTTATTTATTCATTTTTAATGACCACAAGTATTAGCTTGACCTTTATTTTTTCCCTTCCATATCCCTAGCATTTGATAAGGCTGGGGCGGAAGTTCAGGACCACAGTTCAGATGTTTCTTTCAAAGGAGTAGAAATACCTGGTAAAATCAATTCATATCCTCATTTATTTATTTATTTATTCATTTTTAATGACCACAAGTATTAGCTTGACCTTTATTTTTTCCTTTCCATATCCCTAGCATTTGATAAGCCTGATGAGACAGGGACCATGAAAGACCTTGAAATAGGAATGATCAGAGGTATATTTCATTTTGTGTCCATGCATGATTAAATCACAAAATCTCACTGTCAACCTCAGTGCAGAAGCACCCAGCCTTGCTTAGATAACTGCTTCAAGGTGGCCTTGCTACTTTTGTGGTGAAAGTAATGTTGTAAAGTCAATGTTAAATAAGAAGACTTTTTTTCCCTCATCAGAATGTTATTACACACTAAATAGTCTATTTGCTTAAGCAAGAGATTTAGGATGCTGAAGAAGGAGTAGAAGAAGAACCTATTTCATATCCATCTGTGTTATAATCCTAGAAACAAATTACTGTAACTTATTTTGGCTGGACAACCTCTCCTTGGTAGACATCATTATTCATGCTAAGGGTGTTCTAGCCTGGGAACCTTATAGCTGGGTTCTACACTTGGTTTAGCAGAACAGTTGCTGGGTTAGCATGTCATGGATGTTCAAACAAATGAAAAATATTACAGCTTCTGGATCACGGAACATGCTGAATGCAAGCGATTCAACCCCATTTTAGCTTAATGTAACATGATATATAAACACAGCCCCTGTAGCTGGCAAGTCGAAGAAGCGAGAACCCCACAGATTTCAGAAAAATATATTTAATGCTAGTTTGAGGTTAAAAAAAACTAATCTCAAAAACCATAAGAATATATTCCCAAGAGTAAATTCCCTTAATTGGCCAATTAGTGAGCATATTAAGGTAGAGTTTCCTTCCCACTCACCCACCCATACCTGGGCTGTGTGGCCTTTTCTCACATGAACTCCTCCCTTTCCCCCTGTGTGCTTCCCACACTGTCTCACACTGTCTGACAAAGAAATGCCACTTGGTTCAATTGCGTTAAAGTAGAAGGTAGGGCTGTAGGATGTTCTCTGCAGGAGAAATTTGTATGACAGATTCCTCACTTGCTCTGTATCCTTGACCAGTTGGTCTTCCATGGTGTTTCTTTCTTCTGTTAGATGTTATTATCTGATATAACAATGTGGATGGAGTCTAGACAGAACCCTTCCCTATTCAAGTTAATCTAGCCCATTACTGCCCATGGTAGGGATGAGGAACTAAAAATGTGGACTGGAATCTATTTCCCAGAATCAAAGTGATTACCAGGGAATCGGATATAAGGAGGGGAGTCCCCTTCCCTTTCCAGAAGCCACTTCCTCTACTCTCCTTCAGGGGTCCTTTATCCACCTGGATGGAACTTATCCGACCTTTTTCTGGGACTATAAGAAAAGAATGCCATGAGCCAGCTAAGAGGCTCCAGGGGGCTAGAAACAAATCATCTTTAAGGCTTGTCATATTTCCTCAAATACGGTTAAGGAAAAGGCATGCCAGATACGCTTTCCAAACTGGACTGAAGTGATGGGAATGGCACGAAATTCAGGAATTAAAAAAAGAAAAAAGAAACAGAATTAAAAATTAAATGAAATACAACAGAGAGACCTAGTGAATTCTATGCATAAACAATTCAGAGGGAAGAAATGAAACAACTCAACCCCAAGCTAAATCAACCCCTTGGGCAGTTTTCCTTCTGACCTGCATATACTTTGTTCATAATCAAAAGGGAGAATAAGAAAATCAATTGGGTTTCACATCCCAGTGCTTGGCAGTATTGATCACTTCAGGTAAATCAACGTCCTCTTCAATTTCATTCTTGTCACGGACTTCAATTCATTCAGCAGCCATTAGGAAAACAAAAGGAACATTTTCCATATGGCTTCATCCAGGGGGACTGGCAGCGGGAGTGCATTGCGCTGAGGCCCCCATGACGTTGCAAATGTTTTTATTCTATTTTTTGTAGTAGATAGGCTCAACTGACATCCAGTTTTGCTTGAAATGCATGAGATTTGTCAGCCCCGGGTAACATTGTGGTATGAATAAATGCTTGATGGTTTCTGCGACAGCTTCTACACACCAACTTGTTCAAAATGAAGAGAAGGCAGAAGGTTCGATTCCATGGGAAGCCTATCGTGCTTATATTAAGGCATCTGGAGGTACATCCCGCAACCGGTTTGCTCACGATAAATTTCTGCAAAAGTCATAGATGTGGGTGTGGGTGTTATTTATGCACATACACACACACACATCTATAATATATAATATATGGATATGATGGTATAATGTGCAAAAGGAAATGTGGGAATTTAAATCATCTTGGAAAATCTGTCTTCCAAACTGAATGGATTGGGACTGATTTTGAGCCTTGGTGTTTGGTTTTGTGGTCAAGTATTTATTAATGCTATGCAGATATCTGTTTGGCCATTTTTCTTTTCCTTTTCTTCCCTTGAAAAAGAGGCATCTTGCCTTTCCATCCTACTCTCTGGGTGCATGAGGATTCCTTCAAGATTTATCTTAGCAACGTTGTGCTTTTTTGTTGGAACGGGAAGGAACGCTACTGATGTGGCAGGTGTTTTCTGTAATGTATTTTTCCACTGCTCTGAAGCTTCCCTGGCTGGGCTCATTTCTCAGTGGGGAAATATCCCATTGAAGGGACCTCCTCATTATGTCTTCCTATGGAATATAATAGAATGGGAAGTCAGAAGACCTACAAACTGCTGGAGAGATAATGGTACAGTAGAAGACAGGATGTTTTCATTCACCTCTTGTCAGCTGGTCATAAGTGCGAGACCACCATTCTCCATCTGTGAGAATCCATTCAATTTTAAAAGCAATTTCTCTTTCACCAAATTGGATAGGAGCTAGTAGAGAAAAAAATGCAAGGTTTTTTTTCCCTCCACGGTCTTAGTACTGATGGATTGCCTTTTAGAGCATAGCCTATTCTGTGTGGATGGAAAGTACGCAACACCTAATCAAGGAGACTAGTTTACCAACTTGATAGAGAGTTTTATATTTCCAAGAATTCTGGGAAATGTGGTTGGTGTGAGTGCTGAGAATTTTCTGTTAAGGTTAAGTCTTATTCCCTTAATTCCTACGGTTTCTTAAAAGGGCAAATGATCATAAACTGGATGAAATTGATATGTGGTTTGTTTCTTTCCCTGTGGTCCTAGGAGGCCTGAGGCTAGCAGAAATGGCTGAACTACCCTTCCCAGCATTGGCCAATTATGATACAGGCTGGGAGGTATAGTACAGTAACTTCTGGAAGCCCACTGTTTTCTTTTCATTGGCCTGTGCTAATTGATTATATTGAAAGAGTACTGGTGGAACAGACAAAAGGAAACAATTCTTTATACTACATCTAGTAAGCTTATGGAAGTGATGACCACTAACAGGGGATAAGACCAAATAATTGAGGATAACACTGACAATGGGTACTAGTTGTGGGGTCTATATAATGCTCCATGATCAGGGACAACATGCTTCTGAATACCAGTTGCTGAAGAACAAATGCAGGAGAAGTCTCTGGACTTCTTCATCTTGTAAGAATCTGGTTGAATATTATGGGAAGAACAATGCTGGACATAATAAGTCTTTGTTCTGATCCATTGGAGTTCTTTTTGGCTGTGTTCAGCCAATGTACTCAAATTTGTTTCTAAATTAATCCTTCTCTGGATCAATCCTTCACATAATTTATTGAATCATAAACTAAATCAACAGGCCTTCTCACAACAGGTTAAGTGACAAAAGAATTAACCAAGATCGCTAAGCCCCATCCTAAGTTTAGCATGTTGTGCAAATGCAGCTGTTAGCTCTTTACCTTAACTGGTTAAATGTGTTGTGTGAACTCAGTCTTCATATCCTCAGAAATGCAGCATGATTTGACATCCCATGTCTTCATTCCCAAGGCCTGACATTTCCTTCCAGGTTTCCTTTTATGGTTTTTCATCATTCTTCTCTTTGTTCTGATGATTGCCTGCTCATTCTTCAGCAGCTGGTGGCTGAGTTTCTGGATAAAGCAAGGATCTGGGGTAAGTAAGTGCCATTTAGCACCAAAATATTACTCTGTTTATGTCCTCCACTAGATGCAGAACATGGGCTGGCAAAAAATAAAATAAAAATAAAATAAGACTTAATAAAGTTTAATTTGAGAATACTCCCTTTCCACAAACTTCCCTCTACCTTTACCTTTTTGACAAAGACCCAGAGGCAAGGACGTGGCTAAGAAGAGACAATTTGCCTTCACAAGAATCACCTTTCAAAACCAAGTTCTCTTCTCTTGAGACAAGGTTAATAATATCAGTTTTATAATGCAGGACACTTTCCTAAGCATTAGTAATATGTTAATTGCTTTTTCAAATTTGAGGGCAACATTGCCCGCACATGTGGATTAACATTTGGAAGGACCAAAGAGGTCATGTTTGCCTAGTGACAGAGAAATAAGAGAAATAGAGTCATTTGTTGCACGCAACTGCTGTCTACCAACAAAACTTTAGGAAGAAGGAAGGGGAAGATATGATCATGGGGGAGATGCGCAGCATATAAATTTAATAAATAAGTAAATCATAAATCAAAATTTTTCAGCAAAAGCTGGCTGGGCCAGGTTATATTATCAGATTCCTGTGACATCATCACTTCAGTCCCAACTCTTTCACAAACCCTTACAGCAGCCATCTGTAAACAGTTCCTATTTTTATTATTTTTAAATGAAAGGATAAATATGTAATTAATATGTAACTAATTAATATGTAATTCATCAACGGTCATGTGGTGCTCTGAAACAGAAAGCCGACAGCCTGCTTGAATTAAGAGTAGGTATTCAATGACTGAGAGCTCATTCTGGGTTCACTACCCTCAGATCACAAAGCCAAAGTCACACCATAATTGAACAGTATGCTATTATGTATCTTACATAATACCTTTTTTCATATGGCTGTGTAAAGTGTCCTCTGGACTTAATTCCACTGCTGCTGCAAGTTTTTCTTTTTTCCTCCTACTACACAAGGTTGCACAGGTACGTCTAGTCTACTAATTGCCTCTTTTCCTGGACCAGAAGGCCCTTCAGGCAGTCGCTCATGCCTTAGTCACCTCATCAATGAATTACTGTAATGAGGTCTGCATGGGACTGCTGTTGAAACTACAGCTGGCCTGGAATACGGAGGCACAAGCAGTGGTGGGCATGACTTGTTATGCCCATGTGACTCCTCTGTGCTGTTAGCTGACTGGTTCTTGGTTGGCTTCTGGGTGCCGTTTAAGGTGCTGGTTATCTCTCTCTGGTTGTTTCTATCCATCCGGTGAGATCAGGCAGAGTCTGCACACTTTGGGTCAATCAGTTAAGCGGTATTATCCAGAGGGACCCAGGAAGCGTGTTTCCTGTGTTACAGCACCCGCCTTCTGGAATATCCCCCCAGAGATCTCAATGGCTCTCATCTGATGATGTTCTGGAAGCTATTAAAAACTTGGCTATTCTCCCAGGCTGTGGGACAGAGCGAAGGTTGAGACCCTGCTGGATGAGTTTTCTTTGGTTCCAAGTTGTTTTTGAGGCCATTTTTGTTTTGTATTTTCTACTTTTAATTGCAAGCCACCCAGAGTCTTTGGAAGTTGGGCAACCAACACATTGTATAAATAAGTGGATAAATGAATAAATAGGTTACAGTGATCTCACAAAGGGTCACAAACCCTCATTGACCAAATCTCCAATGTGAGACCTTCTCAGTTCAACAGAAAATTCTCTTCCCGTGTTTGGGTGGTGCCATTTTGGTTATAAGACATTCAGTGCCTGGATGCTGGAAATATGTTTTAAATCTCTTTCGAGGGTCCTTTGGTTTTGTTGTTCCCTTTAGCAAAAATATTTCTTCTGGAAATCTGTCTTGATAGTTGTAAAGATATAACTGATGTTTCTTTCTCTCCATCTCTTACTTAAGAAAGAAGGAAAAAGCTTCTTTTGTTTTTATTTCAAATCTGTTTTTTAGAAGGCGACCTGCAGCTATCCTCAAAACACAACCTGTCATGTGGGTAGCATCACCAACAATCCTCAACTGCACTTCTTCCAGCTGGTCTATGGAATGAGCATTGTTTCCATGATCACCCTGAGTTTCATCAAAGGTTTTGGCTTCACTAAGATGACATTACGAGCTTCATCCACCCTCCATAACACCATGTTTTACAAGGTATCACCGACCTTTGGTTAGTTGTCATTGTGATTCCATTTTTTAATAAGGAGCATGAAGCAAAGTCGATCTTATAAACCTAATTCAGGGGGTCAGAAAGTCATCCAACGCCTCAGCAATTATTCAATAAACTGTGCTTAAGCAAACTGTGCCTCAACTAATGTATGAACTTAGTCCAGAGTCCAGTATGGCTCATCAGAGTCTTTGTGTTTTGTCCAGAAAATGCAACTGAGCATCCCTTACTCCAAACGGGGGCCCCTGGTGAGGATGCAACAGGCCTTCTCAGTGGTGGCTGCCATTTTATGGAACATTCTGTCCCCATAAGGAGGGATGGACCTTACTCTACAGGTCTCCTGAATACAAGCCAAAGCAATGTTTGTCAGGCGTAAATGAATGGCCCCTTTTATGTAGCAAGCTTTTTAAAATGTTGATTGTTGTTATATCTGTTTTTGATATCTTCTCTTTGACTTTGTTGTATCTTGCTCAGAATCTGCTAGGATTGGGGCAGGTTGTAAATATTGATGATAGATAGATATAGACAGACAGACAGACGATAGATAGATTGATATGATATATGATCTGATCTGATCTGATCTGATCTGATATGATATAGAACACTACACAGAGAAAGAGGTAAGATCTGGATTTTTCAAGGATGGGGTCTTCCTTAAGGCCAGGGCAGTGCACAGAAAGGCAAGGCAAAACTACATATCCAAGATGAAAGCATCAACTTGCAGTCCAGATGGGTGAAGCAAGTGACAAACTGGGAGAACTGGAAAAAAAAAAAAGCAGGGAAATTACATGACAGTTGTTTCAAGCACGTAAACCCTCCCAACATTCTTCTAGCTGTGTCATAGATTTTTTTTATTCAGCCGTTCTGCTGGAATGGGTTTTTGTCAATCGTAGAATATCAAGTCAGAGGGAAGCACCTGAGATTCAGCTGTCCCAGGAATATCCTGTAGTGTGTGTTGTACCACACTCAATAATGCAAGCAAGCCCATCTATAGCCAAGAAATCTCTCACACCCATTGCTCCAATTTTGGGACCTCCAGAGCTCCCTAGGAGCATGCCCCTGAAATTCAGCAGCAAAGTTGATTTTCATCCATGTAATTTTTATTTCTAAAAAATAAAGAGTTAAAAGAGATTCCTTAAATGCAGTTATTTCTCTTTTTAAAAAATCAGATCTGCAAACCCACATAACCTCCATATAGCTTGCAGCCTCTTTTCTTAAAAAAGAAAAATTAAAAAGCCCCTGGCTGCATGGAAGTTGCCTGCCTTGTGATAAAGCCATTGCTTTCAATAGCATATAAATTAAATTATTTCAAAATAAAATTTTATATGTATGTATGTATGTGTATATATATATATATAAAATAGGGCCAGGGCAAGGAGCTAATAAAACTAAAGCTTAGAAAAGGCCATAACTTTCTGATGAACTGCAGAGATGCAAGAAACAAAAGTTTAGGAAAGGTTTGTGGCTTGAATCCACTTACAGCTAACAATCTGGCATTGGAAAGTAGTTTTTTTCTAAGTCAATTAAACTCTCTGCTGGGTATTGCTATGCTCAAATCCTGGCTGGTTTTGCAGTCTGGGCTTGTACAGATCAGCCATCAATAACGTGGCCTTTCTCCCTGTAGCTATATAGACTTCAGCTCTCAGAATTTCCCAACCCACTTAAACATGACTAAGAATTCTGGGAGTTGAAGTCCTCTAACCTAGAGGGCACCTTGGCTCAGGAAGGCTGGCATAAATTGATGAAGGGAGAAAGATACTCATGGATGAATCCTAGTGCTAGACTTTATGAGAATCCAACAGTGTTGTCCTATTATTTTGCACTTAGCTAAATCGGGAATTAAGATTCTGCAAAGATTCCCATTTCTACCAGAAGACTTTATTTCTAGTGCTGTAATTCTAGTGTTGTAATTCTTACTGATTACAGACTCTTTTTTCCAAGCACACCTGCTATGAGAAATGAATCCAAGCTCTACTCTTCTTTTCTCCTTCATAAAACAGCCTTTAAAATCCCTTCTAGCCATCAGACAAAAGAAGAGAATGCATTGTTGCATTTATGCTGAAGCTCAGATGAATCTGACATAGTTCTGCCATCCAAACACTGAGCACTACAAAAGACTTATCTACTGTGTCATGTCGTTGTTGTTACTGTTGATAGTGCTCTCTTCTCCCCCAACCCCCACCCCACTTATCCACAGATCTTGCAGAGTCCAATGCATTTCTTTGATACCACTCCCACTGGCAGAATAATAAACCGTTTTTCTAAGGATATGGACGAAGTGGATATGAGACTACCATTTTATGCTGAGAATTTCCTGCAGCAGTTTTTTGTAGTCCTTTCCATCCTTACGATTGTTGCCATTGTCTTTCCTTACCTCCTCATCAGCGTGGCTCTCCTAGCAATTATTTTCATTCTGCTCTTCCAGTAAGTTGGATGTTCTGCATTTACAAACATTAGCTCCTCTCCCCAGTCTAGTGAAAACTCCAAAGTATTCCATCACTGTGTGTTCAATCTGCGTCATGTATAATGCGAAGACACCCCTGTTGAACCCCATCCCAATTCTAAGTTTTTCATATGGGGAAGGGAATTCATAAGCCCTGGACTGATCGATAACATCCTGGCTGACTTATTCTTTGGTTCTCTACTCACTTACCTGAAAAAAAGCCTTGTAGAATTCAGTAGATAATATATAGAGGTTCAGAATAAGGCTATCATTCAAGGTTCTCCTCTGTAATCTTATGTGGGTTGTGTGACTAAAATGCAGGGTCTTCTCCAGGTTGACATCGCAGTTGTGGATCCCAAAGGACAGTTTCCCAGCTTCCTCTTTAAATGGGGTTCTGTAATGGTATGCGGGAATGACCTTGGGACACAGGAGGAAGAGTTGCAGACTAGATAACAGTCAGACAAGCAGCAGCTGAGCGCAGAAGGAATGGGGGCATGACAAACATCTCAGAAGGAGCCCTCCCTAGTTTCTTAGGCTGTATAGGTGGGGGGGGGGGATGTACTTTCAGACTTGCAAGATTGATGTCAGCCTTGTGAGATAATCCAGACAAGAAGCATACCCAGAAGTAGTAGCTCTAACTTTATTGTAAGGTTACATTAACAGAATCTTGCAAGTCTGAAAGTACTGCTCTCCTCCTTTCCTTTTACTCTCCAGAAAATTAGAGAGGGTCCCTTCTGAAATGCTTCCCACACCCCCATTCGCGGTCTCAGGTGCCACTTGTCTGACTGTTGTGTAGTCTGCAGGTCTTCCACCTGTCTCTCAGGGTCATTCCCATACACCATTACAGGTTCAGACAGCAAGCAAGAGTGTGGCTATTTCACAAAGCGCTGAGGATTTAATAGATTGCTTGACTTTACTAAATTATTTGCAACCTACCATTCTATTTTGTCTCCATGACACATAAGGTAACTCCCATCCCCAAAGGAGAACATTGCAAGCATTAATGTACAAATGCCATTTTGCACTACTCCAGTCTCAAAGATTGATTACTGCCCCAGTCTCAATTCCAACCCACCTGAGAGGAGACCCCTCTGAACTCATATAAGATTGCTGTCAGGATGGTGACCACATTATGTTATGAGGTTCAAGGTTGCTTCCATAGTGGGGAATATAACTGTGCACAAGATACCTGCATTCCATTACAGGATTTTTCATAACACCATCCAAGACCTCAAACGAATTGAAAACCTCAGCAGATCTCTGTGGTTGTCTCTGATCACATCTTCAGTCCAAGGTCTTAGTACAATCCATGCCTATAACAAGACAGAGGACTACATAAATCGGTAAGTTTTCTGGCCCCAAATCACTTCGTTTTTTTCACTGCCCATCTCTCTGCTCTAAGTACAGCTGTTTTACTATTTTCCACCTGAGCACCGATCTTGTACCTGCCGGGAAATTGATGAAGCCACTCTGCTATTGTGCTGCATAAGTGGGAGATATCCAGGGGTTTTTCATTTGCAGAAAATGCTGAGCTGCAGGGAAGCTCTCAGATTGCCCTATGGATTCTCAGGATTGTCTCTAAGTGCAGCCATATATTACCCCCATGAGAGCACTTTATATTCTTTTCCAAGCATTAAACTATTCTTAAGATCCAGTTTCTAAAGCAACAGAATTCAGTGTTCAAGTCTTCTGCCAGTTTCTGACAGAATATGAGGCTCACTGAAAACGCATGTAACCAGTGACCCAGCATGAGGACATCCTTCCTTTTCTGAGCCAGTAGAATGGAGGGTTTTTGGTCATTTTCCCACTAAGCAACTTACAGCTTCTTCTAGTGTCATCCAACCATCACTGGGCCAAAATAACAGTAATGAGGACAGGCTTCATAGCACTTCAGTGATAGGTTGGTGATGCTAAAGATGCTTTAAGTCACTTGTGGGGCAATGGCTTTAGCCCTCTTTCCCTAAGAGAGCTGTAATGGTATATGGGAATGACCTTGGGAGACAGGAGGAAAACCTGCAGCCAGGACAATGGTCAGATGAGAGATCTCTCAGCCGAGAGGAGGGATGGGGGTGGAGAAAGCATCTCAGAAAAGACCCTCCCTAGTTTTTGGGAGATTAAAAATAAGGGAGGGGAGAGATGCGTTCAGACTTGCAAGATTCTGTTACAGTAACCTTACAATAAAGGTAGTATTAGTACTCATGGTTGGTGCTTCTTATCTGGACTACCTCAAAGGGCTGACGAGCTTACAAATACTTCATAGAAAAAATTCACACCACATACCTAATTAAGTCACTTAAATACTTATAAAATGCAGTCAACAACATACTAAGCTTGCTTAGTGTTGACCTTGGTTAGGATTTTGTGGCTTAATGTATTTGGTTAAATAGGTGATTTGATCCATCATGTAACCAGAAAATGTGTTAATTTAGCAACTAAGTTAAGCATGTTATGCAAGCCCAACTGTTGAGTCTAGAGTCTGATGTGGAGAAGTGTTCTGGAATCTCACCACCATGGGGTTCTTGAGATAGCACTGGTCTTCTGAAGCCCCCCATGAGAGTAGAAAAATATGCTCATATTAAAAGAAGAGGAAAAAAAGGGAGGAAAAAAAAAACCTTTCCCACCCACCCCAAGGATGCAGACCCTACCGTCTTCCCCCCCCTTTTTTTTTTTACTGAATACTGTCTCATTCAACCAAAGCTAAAGGTGGAGTACTGTGAAAGACTTTCCCATCCAAGCTGCAGTCTCCACCATGGATTGCATGAATGTTCATGGCCTTACATGAACTTTCTGATGCAGTTCTAGTTTTTCAAGCAGAGATCTTGGCAGGATTCCCCTTGCCATCAAGCTGGCCCTAGTTCTCATCACTGCCTAGAGAAAGCAGAGAATACCTACGGAAGGAGGAAGTTCTTGTTTCTAACATTGCTGTTCAACTATTGGGTCTCTCTATCAGGGAGAAAGGAAAAGGGGTGATAGCTAGAAGGGAGATAAATCTGTGACATACCCTCAGTTTGTGCATGGGCCTCAATAGAGGTTCATTAACCATGACCTTGACGTGATCTAGGCTAGTTTCACATGATCCTTCCAAAAATATCACATCCAGTTTTATCCAGTCTGGCAATAGATCAACTGTGAAAGGGACCTCTTCCAGTCCAGGACTTGTGTAGCACTTTTGCACTTCCATGGCACTGTCAGACTTGCATCTTTGCTCAGCTGCCATCTCAAAGAAATTCCTGAAAGGCAGCACTGCAGCCTTTCCTCTGGAACTATGGGGTGGATGGCTTCTCATTAGGGGGAACAATCGCATAATCCCACCTCCTCAGGTTTCCCCCTCTTCTGTGGAGCCAAGGCACTTGGTGCTGTGCTTTCATTTCCCTAGGAAACCCTCCCTAGGAGGATACCTTTCCTGTTCCCGCAAACGATCACTCCTCCTCCTCCTCCTCGTCCCCCCCTCCTCCTCCTCCACCATAATGAAAAGAAGTCTCCTTCCCGTTCCTCCTCCTCCTCCTCGTCGTCCTCCTCCATAATGAAGTCTCCTTCTCCTCCTTCATTATGAGAAAAATCTTCTCCTTCATTATGAAAAAAAATCTCCTTCTCCTTTTCCTTCTCCTTCTCCTTCTCCTCCTCCTGACTGCTAATTTGTGCACTTCTGCACTACCTTGCTGGAGAGAATACTGTCAACTCCTAAGGTTCCTCACAAGGAGGCAGTGAAGATACTTAATGGGGCTGTCTAATTCTGGGAGGTTGTGGAGTGAAAATAGTAATTGTGTGGACATGTCTTCAGGTCCCAGATGTGCTGTACAGAGGCCCCAACACTCAACCAGAGAATTCTTTCAGCGTCATACTGGTTGAATATATCATTGGTTTCTGTAGGACTACTCTCCAGACATAATATTGAGGACTGACTTTTAATGCCAAATTGCACCAGGAATGTGCAACATTTAGGTTCTCTTCTTTTGAATTACTAAGTGCAAAAACAATCAAAGGTCCTATACTTTTTTTTTTAGTGACAGTTTGGAAGTGAAAAAAACCCCACACACATCAAAAATAGCCTCTCTATACAGCTAGGCCTACTACTAAGTGTACTTTTACACCTTGCAATGAAGCAGTAGAATGAACATTTGTCAGCTTCTTCTGACCTTTCTTTTTCTGTCCCCCTCACCCCTGCCAGCTTGTGATAATTTTCACTGCAACCAGTACATAGACATTTATCTATGAATTCCATTTCATCACAATTTGAATAGGTTCTTTGCTTCCTAGATTTTGCACAATGCCCTCAAATTATGTTCTTCGCCTTCCAGATTTTTTTTCAGGGACTTCAAAAGAAAATTGAACAATAACCATGTTAAAAAACATAGAATTTATTTAGGCCTTGAGCAGGTTTAAACTGCTTATTCTGATGCATTTAGTAATGTTATTTGGTATCATTTCCAAAGCAGCCCGAGATAACTATTGAACAACTCATCCTTGCTTTCATTTCAGTTTTAAGATGCTGAATGATGAAAACTCAAACCATTTCATTTTGTTTAACTACGCATTACGATGGTTTGCATTGAGGACAGATATTCTCACGAGCATCATGACGTTGATCGTAGCCTTGTTTGTGGTCCTCAGTCATTCTTCTATCAGTGCTGCAGAAAAAGGCTTGGCTTTATCTTACTCTCTTCAGGTAAAAACTTGGTAGTCAGGATCTTCAATTAACTCACCCTTCATTTTCAGAGTGTGAACTGAATCTTTATTGTCCTGACATTAATGGTGTAAAAAGAATGGTTTTGCAACATGTGAATGGATATCTCTCTCATCTTCCAAAAGATACAGGATAATGAGAATATACATACACACATACATACAGATTGCTTTGTAACTAATTCTGAAGTGTCTGAAAGAAGTCTGCAGAAAGGTCAGGATCTGTCTACAGATTGCTGGAAGATTTGCAGTAGATCATCATCATCTACTTGCTTAATAATTACAACACAATACTTTAAGCCCTTCCATGAATAATGGGTTTGAAATGATAAAAGCTTCAGGGGAAGAAAATGGCAATGCGTTTTTGTATTGAGTTCAGTCTGAAACTCAAATTCCTAGATGTAGAATGTTTCCATTCTAAGCTCATGTTGTTTTTCAAATGCATATTGCATCCCCAAAGTGGATTCTTAAAAACATGGAGCAAAGACTTGTGGTGCAGTTTTTTCCATATGGTGGATCTCAGGATACCAATTAAAAATAACACACACACACACACACAAAATAAAGTAAACCTTGCAAGTCTGACATCTGCCCACCCCTATGGTAGAACACTTTCCCACCTATCACTTTGTTATACTCCCATGAGTTTTGGAATCATTAATGTGCTATTTGGGGGAGACTGCAATACCCTTTGATATCATGGCTTCATTCTATCCTACCTGAGAGTAGGGCCAATCCTGTCACAGGCAGCAAATGAATGACACTTAAAAATGTCTAAGCAAAAGGGACTAAGGACTAAGCAAAAGATCTGCCATAGGTGAGCTTCTGTTTCTTTTAAGGCATTTTGTTTGCATAAAACCACCTTTAAGGACTTTAAAGCTCTCGTGCAATTTTAATCATAATTTTAATACATGCAGATGCGCACATATCTCTAACTGTTCCTCACTCTGGCCCAGAAGTTCTATTCCTACTTCTTAAGCAGGTATACAGCAAAAGGAGTACAAAAGCCCATCAATTATTTGCATAGGATTGTCCAAAAATCCAGGTGATGCCTATAAATGCATAGAAGGAAAGTGCATGGGTGGGGCGGATAGAGATCTCGCTCAAAATGCTGCATTTCCCCCTTAAGAGCAAGGTAGGTTTTTTGAGTGGGGAGTTAGAACTGTCAGGATAAATGATCAAGATAAATAAGAGTAAGAGGGGCTTACTCTTGAGCAAACACACATAGAGTTAAATATGTATTAAATATTTCATGCATGGAAACATGCATAGAATTGTACCAATTAAATATTTCATTCTCATTAAAATAACTTGGATCAGATCCCTGACTCCATGAGCAAACTGGGCAAAATACCACCAATGATTGTGAAGACCCTCAAGGAAAGATCTCGTAACATTTTCCAGTGCAAACCACAACTTGTTTCAAACTGCGCCTTTTTGTCTCCATCCTTGTGGTGACTTTTATCTTCTTTTTTTCCTAAGTCGTGTATATTTTTTTTTTTGTGCAAGTACTTGTGGAAGTAGACAGCATACACACAAACACACATACACACACAATGAGCTTGCACCAATTGCCTTAGTGATGGTTTTTGAAGTCCCAGGTTGACTTCCCTACAGAGCTGGGGGTGGAAAGTTGCCAGAGGCAGCAAGAGCAAAGAAGAAAGAGGAGTAAAATATTGGAATGGAAATATTTAAATACTGAATATAAAGAAAAGGGAGAAAGAACATGTTCCTTTGACCAATAATGGTCAAGAGGTTATCTGCCGTTCCATTGAATTTCCAAAAAGAGAATTCCAAATCACATTCATATGAATTTCAGAAGATGAGAAGATCCATGCTGGATCAGACCTACATTTATCTAGTATTCTGGTTTCATAATGGCTATCGGGATTCCTCAAGCAAAGCATGAGTGCAACAACACCCTGGCTACTGTTCCCCCTCAATTGGAGTCAAGAGAGTGCCAACTTCTGAAATTGGATATTTGGGCGGCCTTATCCTTTACGAATATGTCTAATCTCCTTTTAAAGTCATTCCTGCTTTATTTACTGAGGCCACATACGTATGCGGCCAACTCATGCAACTCTAGTTACTTGTACATATTGCCTACGTAATTGTCCTGGAACTGATTGGATTTCTCATACTAAGCCTTTCAAAAGACCTATCCGTACACTGCAGTAAAGTTTTCTCTGTTCCCCCTTCTCTCATTGTTTTCTCTAGCTAACTGGACTTCTTCAAGTGTGTGTGAGAACATGCATGGAAACACAAGCCAGATTTACTTCTGTTGAGCAGATAACAGAATACATTTTGGTAAGAAAGGTTCCCCATCAGAGGAGTGTTGAGATTTTCATATTTTTCTTATGCACCAACAAAGGCCCAACACAAAAAATATTTGCAGAAATCCAGAACATGAAGCCATAAATCAATAGAAGTTAGTTCTCATCGTTGAAATGCTGGTGTACGTAGATACAGTATTTGGATGGCATTTATTAGTTTATACATTTAATTTTCCATTTCTTCTTATAATTGAAAATGACTCAAATGTCAATAATCCAGTTCTATAATTACCCAAATATTTAACATTAGTTTTGAGTAATAGGTGAAAGAGATCTGGGTTTTTTGGGGGGGGTCTTATTCTTTCTTTTTCATACATTTATCCCCCAAAACATTATTTTTATCTTCAGTGAAAATTGAATAAGAGAAAGCGTCTCAGACTTGACCCTCCCTAGTAATCCTGAAGGTAAAGGGAAGGAGCGGGAGGCACATTCAGACTTGCAAGATTCTGTTACTGTAACCTTATAATAAAAGTAGTATTAGCAGTCATAACTTTGGTTCAGGTCCACCTCAAAGGGCTGAAAGATACGGATTCCTACCATTTCTTCTTTGTTTCTTTCAGAAATGCGCTACTGAGGGATCAGAGAGCACTCCGGTGGTTACCCCTCCCCCAAATTGGCCCGATAAGGGTGAAATCACTTTTAAGAACTATCAGATGAAATACCGAGAAAATAGTCCCATTGTGCTCAGTGACATCAACATCCACATTCATGGCAAAGAAAAAATTGGGATCATTGGCCGGACCGGCTCAGGTACAATCAATTTTGTCAGTTGGTTTCTACATTGTGCAAATAATGAAATGCCTCTTTATGATTTAGCCAAGCATGGCAGTAAATGGGGAGGCATCGTAAAGACTAGGGAAGTGCACACATAATTTTTTTATCTGGTCAGTGGAGGCCATATATTGTACTGAACAACATAGAACAGATTTCTCCTCAATACAATCCTTACTTTTACCAAGGGAAGGTGTGACATCCTTTGGTTTTGTAATGGCATATGGAAATGATCTTGGGAGACAAGAAGAGCCGTAAACTAGGCAATGATCAGACAAGAGGCAGGTGAGTCCTCAGAAGGAATGGGGGCATGGCAAATGTCTTAGAAGGGACCCTCCCTAGTTTCTTGGACTGTATAGGTGAGGGGGGGAGATATACTTTCAGACTTGCCAGATTCTGTTAATATAACCTTACAATAAAGATAAAGCTAATACTCCTGAGTGTGCTTCTTGTTTGGACTACCTTGCAACGCTGACATCAGTCTTGCAAGTCTGAAAGTACATCTCTCCCCCCTCATCTTTACAGGCCAATAAACTAGGGACGCTCCCTCCTGAGACATTTGCCATGTCCACATTCCTTCTGCAGTCCCATCTGCTTATCTGACCGGTGTTTCCTCCTATCTCCCAAGGTCATTCCTGCATACCTTTACAGGTTTAGTATGAGGGGGAAAATGGGTGATCTCAGGCTGGGTTCACACAACAAAGCAACCCACTTTTTATTGAATCAACATAGCTGGATAAGTTTACCCAACACACTGAACCATAAATTGGGTTCGTGCACCATTCAGCCACAAACTAGCTAACTGCATTTTAACTTAGCATGATGTGTGAATGTCACCTCAGACAACAGTTGTGATGGAACTAAACTTGGTCCTCCTTCTCTGATTTTGATAGATCAAACATCTGTGATGAGGGATATCTTTTCCATCCAACCTTTCCATCATGTCCCAGATTACAGGCCACTGGTATCATCCCACAGAATTTCACGGGAACACTGAGAAGCAAACTTTTTATAACAATAGCTTTCCAACACCAGAGGTCCACCCTATGTATGATGCAGAGTCACAATTGTAAATATGGGATGGGAACGAACATTTCCCTCAGACCACACATTCGATTTAGCAAAAGCACAATTTGCATGGGGAACATGATTATAATGTTTAGGGGATCATACTTATGCGCTCCCTTACTAAGAACATTCCTTCCTTCCAGACCATGAAAGTAATGACTGGGAGGCTTACACAACTGTGAATGCAGTTAGAAGCCACTAAGAGTAATGCATGTGAAATCTATGGTACAAATACCATCAGAAGCCCACATGTTCATCTGAGAAACAAAGTGTTGGAAATAGCTTCCTATAATACTGTGGTGCTGAGCTGTTTGCATCAACCAACCATTTCCTATACCACAGTTATTAATCTATACATATTTTAGAATATTTCCTTCCAAGGTAGTTTGATTAATTCAAAAGCACTGAAATAATCATAGTTTTCTATATGTGGAATATTGTATAATGATATACAAGCTTCCCCTACTTTACCCGAGGCTCATATCATATTCCCTCAGATTATATCAAAGTATTCCCTCCCAAACAAAAATGAAACAAAAGAAGGAACTTCTGAAGGGATCTATCAGATTCAGTTTGAATCCATTTTGCTTCTAACTGTGGAATAATAGTATTTGGTGCCAGTTCCACTTCTACAAGCCTCCAACCAAATTTCTCCTTGTTGTTCAAGTTTATAATTCTCTTTTTTGCTCCCAAATCTTCCAACCATTTAATAGATGTTCTTGCTGTAGTTTTTTTTTAGTGGAAACTAAGGAGGGAAGAGAGGTTGTGTCAACTCATTCTGGCATATGTAGAAGTAGAAAAATCTATTCTCCACTCCAACAAATATTCCTGGTGACAGATGAAAAATGCTCTCTTATTAAGTTGGAGAAGAAATTGGGTTTCATCAAGGTCACCTTGCATTATAGAGATGTGCAAAGTTTTCCATCATGGAATAATCCAACCTTGAAGTAGACTGTTCTTAACTCAAAACGGGTGCATTCTGAGGTTGGACACAGTCTGTTTCAAGATCAGGATGTTCTCTAATAGAATATTTTGCCACATCCAATTTACTCTTTCCAATCCTAGAAACACAAACAGGGTATCCCAAAAGTCTTAGTGCCATTTTAAGCCTTTAAAGCTTAACACTGCAGTAAAACTTTAAGCTTTTAAAGCTTAAACCTGCACTAAGACTTTTGGGACTCCCTGTATTTTGTGGTACAGAATCTAAAAAGTAGACTCCTCTTTAGAGAAGGAGTCTTGCCCTAAATTTCAAGAAAATCTTTCTTGGCCCTTGGATGTTGTCCAGCAGATTTTTAAAATGATTGAAAAACTCATTTAAAAATTACCCATGTTGGCATTCTTTGAATCTTGCAGGAAAGTCATCTTTAGGGACTGCTCTGTTTCGACTTGTGGAGCCAACAGCTGGCACTGTCATCATCGATAGCATTGACATCTGCAGTATTCGCTTGGAATCTTTACGGACGAAGCTGTCGGTCATTCCCCAAGATCCTGTTCTGTTTGTAGGTACAGTAAGGTAGCTGTTGCAATTATCAATTAACCTTTCCTGCTAAAGTGAAACCAGGCCACTAATACTAGTTTCAAGGCCCTCTTTTAAAATGGAATCTAAAGTATTGTTGAGGGCAGCAATATTTCATGACTTGGACCCTGTGTTAGAATCTGGTGTGGCCAGAGAGACAGCCTATGAACGAGGGCTCTGTGTGATTCGGTACACTTTCTTGAAGACAATGCAATTCTTTGCACCAAAGTACTCCTCAGTTTACTCGCTGCTATTTCATCCCTTATCTTTAAGATCCAAACTCTCTTATTATTTTTATTATAAGTGCATTTATATCCTCTCTGTGTACTTGGGATAAAAGAGTTTGTCCCCAAATCACTCAATCTCAGCCCTTTCAAGTAGGCAAGCAGAACAGCAAGGGGTTCAGGAATACTTTTCATTGTGGTAGGGTATAATAATCGACTCTTCAAAGCCTGTTAGAGTTTCTCTCTAATACATCTTATACCAAACAAACACAAGGCAGAGTTATTTTGGATTCTTTTTTTCTCCTGCTTTGTTATTTTCTAGGATTGAGGAATCTTTTTTGAACCTCCTGCTCCCTTAATACTCCATTCATCTCTTCTCCATTTGCATTCCATCACACCCACATAGTTCCCTGGTCAAATGGAAACTAGATCCTGGGTTCAATTAGTGCTAGTCTAACACCTTATGGCGATGCTATCCAGCATTGTAAATTATAATGACCCAGTTGATTAAATTGGGAAATGGCCAATCCTTCTAATAGTTTTCTTCCCATGGGCTTGTTGGTCTTCCTGCATATTTGCTGGGAAGGTTATGAAAATTCACCCTACTCAGTTCTCTATTATATTGTATGCAAACACAACAAATAGATTCACCATCACATTAAGCCATAATATGGCTTATTCAACTTAATGTTGTGTGAACTCAGATCACGTGGCTCATTCAACAAATTAGTGTGAACTAATTGTCACTGGATCAACTTATGCTAAACCATGGTTCTTGACTGCTTTGTGCACGAAAGGCAATTTCAACTCAAACAACCCATATTGGGCCATAAAATTATTTTGATTATCCTGGAAGGGAGCATGGTTGCAAGCATTCACTCTTAGCAATAACAAAGGATTGGAAAGGAGGTGGTTTGAAGTTCCCCATGCAACTTTTTTGGAGGTCAAGTGCCACATTGGCACTTTTGACTCCTGTCAAGGACCAGTCTCTCTGAAGTACGTTCGGCGTTAGTGAAAAAAAGACAAGGCAAGGCAATAGCATTTCTTCATTTACCAAGTAGTATCATTCCCGAGCGGTAAAAGCCAGCATTCTTCCAACCTCAACCATCCAAAGATTCTACTTCTGGAAGCTGCCTAGTAGAGTATGATT